AAGTGTCAAAGTTAATGCAATAAAATTTGGTTGATTTGTGTTATATGGAAAAAATAGTGATAGCAGACAAAGTTTACTTATTTGCAATTTGTTTATTTTCTTTATTATTATTTTGGCTAATTCCTTGTGTTTTGATGAATGTTAAGTTTTTTATACAGTTATTCACTACTCAATGCTGTGCTATAGTATTGTAATTAGCAATTCATTCTTATTCATTTTCTCAAAAACAGTACACTGAGCGTGAATTGTTTTGAAAATAATCAAAAATATATTAACTTGGATGTGTATTCACATACTAAAATATATAACTTGGATGTGTATTCACGTAATAAAGTATATTGACTTGGATATGATCAATGTTTATCAATGCAATGAACAGGTCATTTTGGTGTTCAACGTAAATCTTTTATGTAGGGCAGTCTAAACGTATTCCAAGTTAATATCTTTTTCAAGTCAAGTTATGGGTTCAATATTCATCAGTGTTTGTAGTCGAAACAGTTTTTTCAAAAGTGTAATTTTTTTTTTAATGGCTGATAAGATGCCAGTGCAACCATGCACAATTTTTTTAATCAGAAATGTCTATTTTAGGTATGTGTGATATTAGTCAATATCCAAGGCCAAATTAAGTGCAATTAGGCTTCTAAGGATATGGCCTTGAATGAACCCAGAAAAGGATTTCTTTTTTTTAAATAAAGTGCTTAAAATTTCAAATAGTGTTATTTAAATAGATAATCGTTTCATTAGTGACTATTATTTCAATTGCCATAAAATTTACAAAAAAAAATTTATTTTTAAAAATTTTTTTACTAACAATCATTAGAAAGCATTTGTTATTTAAAATCTGTAATTGTTTTTGTTTTTGTTTTTTTAAATGTTACATGACAAAAAATAATGGCACTCATTTATTCAAAGTTTAGTTGCAAACGTAACTTGAAGTAATAGAACACTCTTTTTTAGAGATTTTTATTGAGATTTATGATATTGTGTCAGCAACAGATTTTCTCAAAGAATTAATAAAAGCAGTAGTTAATGTCAATGCCTTTTCAAAGGCATTAACATTAACTACTGCTATATTTAATATTATCTACTGCTATAAATATATCTATTATACCAGTTACACTAAAAGGGTTGTAATATAACCTCTCTTACTAAGATTGTATATTTTGTCCTCTCATGAAATTTACAAATGATTTATAAATACTTGAAATTAATTTTTGAAAATATTGTAAATTCTGGTTTTGGAAAGAGCCATTGAGTGCACATGTAAAATATTTTCTTTTATTAGAACAAAAAAATTAGCAAAAAAATACTTTGAAATAAAAATTAACTATTTTATTCTTTTATTTGTTCTACAGTCGTTGTCAACTTAAGCCTGCCAGATTTTCAACTATTTTTGCAATTTTTTAACTCCTTATATTGATCTAGGTTATAATTTATGTGAAAGCAATTTTTAGCAGGTATCAGATAGCTGTTGCTATAAGGCGAATTGAGCGATAATAAAATTTTTTACTATTTTAGTAGTCTTTCATTGATATTTTTTAGGTACAATATTTGTAATTTTTTATAACTTTTTTATCTTTATTATTTTGTTATAATGAGCAAAACAACATCTGTTTTAGTTAATAGATTTTTGTATTTTTTAGATTCTGTTTATGAACAAAAATTGTTTTTTTCATATTTTTAGTATATTTTTTAAGCTGACCAAAGTAATTTTGCCAGGACTGTAAATGCTTAACAAAACATAAAATTAATGGCATTTTGAGATATCTTTTACATTTTTTGCTTGATTTTAATTTTTAAAATCTAAGGAGAATTTCTTTTCAAAATACATCATTGCACTTATCACAACTTATATTAAGAAAATTTTAAAATGTGAATTTCCAGGGAAATAGATAATATTGACTCTAATAAGTTAAACAAATTTGTTTTTTGTGTGATCCAGAGATTCAGATGCAATGGTGAAAATTTAAATTTTTTTTCCTAGATTGCTGAGGTGAAAAGAGAAACTTGATTGCCCATAGTGTTTGTCCACAACTTTCTTTCTAACTAGTAAAATATATATGAAGTAAAAGAATTTGTATCTGATGCTTTAGTGTTAAGATAAAAGATAAAATTAGCAAATATCAATAGTCTTACAGTTTCAAAATAACTTTTGTGTTTCTCCAATAATTTCTTATTTTAACAAATGCTGATAGTATTGATTTTCTATTAAGAATTTGTTTCAAAGGGTGCAAAATGGTTATCTATTGAAGGTATTCACTTCACAACTTTGCAAAACATAATTAAAAATGCAATAGGATCAATATTTATATACCCATAAGAGTAAGTTGATTGCCTGTGACATAGTACTAAAGAACCTTTTAAGCATTATTTTGGTTGTACTTGGCAATTAAAAGAGAATTTACTATTTATGGCTTATTCAGTATGGTAATTGAATTTTCTCATCTGCTTTTATATAAGTAATAAACATTGAATGAAATTTATCGAAAGATTATGCCAGTACTTTATCTGGGTTTGTTGCATCTGCTTCTTCAATGCTGGATAAAAAATAATTTAAAAAAAAAAAAGCAATTCTGGGATTGAATTTATTACCTAAAAAGGATAAAGTTTTACTGGACCTATTTTGTTACCAATCATTTGATAGCAAATTATCCAAAATAGTTCTTGTGACTAAAAATCAGTTTTCAGATAAAATAAGTTATGCTTAATACTTGTGGAATAGAAAAACATTGATTAAAAAATTTAAATCTCTTGCGGAATGAAAGAGCTTTTATGTTTTGTTTATTCAGAACAAAAGTAAAAAGGGTTTAGATGCAGACACATTAAAATATACACATGCTCACATTGATGATCAAGAAAAATTAATGAAAATAGTTATAATAGTTTACAGAAAGCTATGTATGTATGTACGTAAATATGTATGTATGTATACATGCATACATACATACATACATACATACATACATACATACATACATACATACATACATACATACATACATACATACATACATACATACATACATACATACATACATACATGCATGCATTTTTGCATGGTAAGTGAAAGAGACTTAAAGGTAAAAAAAAAAAAGTACATACATACATACATACATACATACATACATACATACATACATACATACATACATACATACATACATATTTTCATACATACATACATGCATGCATTTTTGCATGGTAAGTGAAAGAGACTTAAAGGTAAAAAAAAAAAAGTCTCTTTCAATGCTAATTTTAAACATTTAGGTAACCTTTAACAATACCAAATGTATAATAAAAAATAATGCAAATAGAACAGAAAAAACCAATTTTATAAATTTGTCTTTTCTGTTCGAAAAAAAAAAATCTTTTTGCAAAAAAATCCCTAAAATAAAAATTGTTTCTATGTCTAGAGAAATTTTATTCAAAAAGGTTGCCTTCTTTCTTAGCATTTTTTATTTATTTGAAGTACGATCCCAAGCCTTGACAAGAGAAGTCTTGAGAGCCTCAGTGTTGGGGTTTTGCACAAACATTTGACTAAAGTTCAGTCCACACTGAGTAGTTCAGAAGAATAACATCTGGAGAGTTAGGGCGCTACCAGTTTTTTAGTCGGAAATTCAGCATATTTTTTTCAAGCCTTGATCTTTTTGGTGGTGTGGCTTGATCCTCCCTTTTAAGTGAATAGAGCTTTTGTATTTTTGTTATAGGTTACCTCAAAGCTAGAAAAAAGTTTGTTTTTTTTTTTTTTTTTACATTTTTATTACACACTTAGTAAGCAACTTACAATTGTTAAAACAATTAAATAGTTGCAAAATTAAATTAAATTTAATCACTTTTTAAAAAACTGACTGCAATGAGGGAATATGCAACGGAGTATACATATATTAGTTGATTTAAATATGGAGAACATGCAAGGATTGTACATACTTCAGCTAAGAGTTTTGGTTTGGGAAGGAAACTTATTAATCTAAAGAAAAAATTTTTTTTGAATTTTTTAAATTTTTTATGACCTGGTATCAAACCAGATCATAAAAAGCGCTCAATTTAAAATCTTAGTTTATAGAAATATATATATATATATATATATATATATATATATATATATATATATATATATATATATATATATATATATATATATATATATATATATATATATATATATATATATATATATATATATATATATATTAGGGTGCATCAAATGCCCCATACTTTCAAAAATTGATCTGTCCCTATTCTTAAAACTTTCTATTGGTACTCAAAAGACACTCTGTTAAATTTTTTCAAAATTGAATGAGATTTAGGAGGCCAACCTCAAATCTGAAACTTGCGAGGAGACCCTAAACAGAAGAAAAAAAAGTTTTTCAAATGTATGTCATGTTGGGTCTCAAAAGAAGCGAAACTTTATAAAAATTTCAAAAATAGTTATGATTTTTTGTTAAAAATAAAAAACCATGAAAAAATGGCTTTTTTTAATTTTTTGCTAAAAAATAATTTTTATTGAAAAACTCTTTCTTCTTCTGTTTAGGTTCTCGTTGCAAGTTTCAGATTTGAGGTGGCCCCCCTAAATCTCATTCAATTTTGAAAAAATTTAACAGAGTGTCTTGTGAGTACCAATAAAAAGTTTTAAATATAGGGACAGATCAATTTTTGAAAGTATGGGGCATATATATATATATATATATATATATATATATATATATATATATATATATATATATATATATATATATATATATATATATACATATATATATATATATATATATATATATATATATATATATATATATATATATATATATATATATATATATATATATATATATATATATATATATGTATATATATATATATATATATATATATATATATATATATATATATATATATATATATATATATATAACCTATCTTTATTTAAATTAATTTTATATATTATTTCCTTTAATAAATTGCTTTTGTCATAATCTATTTTTCTAATTGAAACATTATAGGAAAGATGGCAGAGAACGATTTATAAAGATAATGCAACATAATGGAAGATTTGGTTTTCAAATAAGCTTGTTAAATTTTTCAAGCCTAAAATTTTTAATTGAATATTTTAAAGACCACTCATTAAACGAAATGAATTCAAACTTGGACACATGTTTAAAGTATCCTTGCATAAAGCAAAAAAAAATTTCAGTAAGTTTTTTCCAATTATTTTTGTAATAAAATAATGCTGTACACTCAAAATGAAGTCTTAATAAACCTATAAAGTTTGTTGAATTAGATCTTTTTCAATCTTTACTTTTTTTTTTTTGTTACCATAACTGTTACATAACTTTTTTTTGCACTATTTTTAATTCTGTTTTCGATAAAATGACCAACTCTTTTTTTTTTTCTTTATCCATCTGTCAATATCATTGTTTTTTGATGACTTACTAGAGTCAAATTTACTAGTAACAACCTCAAGTTCCAGAAAAGTCACTAGTACTAGAGTTAAACCATTCCGTATGAATGCTACTGAATGGTTTTCCGCTGATACTTGTGACTTTTCTGGAACTTGAGGTTGATAAAACTTTCATCTTTCTTATTCTTGAATCCAGACACTTTCTTGCTTGTTTCCCAGGCAACATAAATCACTTTCACTACTTTATTTGTATCTTGTCTCTGACCTAGATCATGTCCAGTTTCTTCTCATTTTCCTTTAAGCCATGCTATAATTTCCCTAAACTGTTGATTTATAATGTAATAAATTACTATTTAAACCTGACATCCATTTTATAATTGTAATAAACATTTTCATCTTTATAATAAAAATTAAATCATAATAAGTCTCTTGGATTTAAGCTGATATGATAGCTCTTCTTTTTAATTTCATTTTTTATCTACTTTTTTTTAATTTTAAGTAAAGCCTCCTCTACCCCGTGATTTTCTCTTTATTTTGCAAGTGTTATTTCTGATTGTTAGAAAGGCATTTTATGTAATATTAACAAAAGAAGTACAAAAAGTTGTATTTTATTGGAAAGAACATTTTAAAAAATTTAATCTATACTATGATTACGACACTTATAAAAGTCTTTATAATAACAACAATTAAATTGTTGTTAAAACTAACAAATTTTGTTAGTTAGGTAAATAGAGGAGGTAAGTAAGAATAGAGGAAATAAGTAAGTATAGCCAGAAGAAGAGAGTATAGCCAGAAAAATAGAGGCAAGTATAGCCTGTAGAATAAAAGAGATAAGTAAGTATAGCCAAAACTTATAGCAAAATCTTTTGTTAAAAGCAGTTTTGTCTTTTGACAAAGCAAAATTATTTGCCATATGTAATTTTGCCTTCTATTGAAATGTCTTAAAATGTGTACGTACAATAAGGTTATCAGTTTGAACTGAAAAAAAATTTGAGCAAGGAAAAGAAAAATGACTATATGTTAGTGTTAAAGAAATCTTTAAACTAAAAGTACTAATGTTATTTTTAAAAATAAAAAAAGTTGTAAAATAACCACAAGTAAAATCATCTGGTGTTTTAAAATAATTATAAATTAATAATTATAAATTAAATGATCAAATTAATTATCACAGCTTACATATAATTGTATTTACTTTTAGTTATTTATATTGATATATTACCAATCTATATATAATATCAAATTAAATTAATGTATAAAATCAAATATTTATAAGTAAAATAATATATATATAATAAAATATTATTTAGGGGAGAAAGGTGAACACATTTTAAACTTTTGCTTTGAACACATTTTAAACTTTTTTTTATGATTTAATATTTTATTTATTTTAAACCACTTTTTTTTTTTCTGAATAATCAAAGTAATAGTTAAGAAATGAAACTGCAGTGTTTGTATGAAACTGCAGTGTTTGTATGAAACTGCAGTGTTTGTATGAAACTGCAGTGTTTGTATGAAACTGCAGTGTTTGTATGAAACTGCAGTGTTTGTATGAAACTGCAGTGTTTGTATGAAACTGCAGTGTTTGTATGAAACTGCAGTGTTTGTATGAAACTGCAGTGTTTGTATGAACTGCAGTGTTTGTATGAAACTGCAGTGTTTGTATGAAACTGCAGTGTTTGTATGAAACTGCAGTGTTTGTATGAAACTGCAGTGTTTGTATGAACTGCAGTGTTTGTATGAAACTGCAGTGTTTGTATGAAACTGCAGTGTTTGTATGAAACTGCAGTGTTTGTATGAAACTGCAGTGTTTGTATGAAACTGCAGTGTTTGTATGAAACTGCAGTGTTTGTATGAACTGCAGTGTTTGTATGAAACTGCAGTGTTTGTATGAAACTGCAGTGTTTGTATGAAACTGCAGTGTTTGTATGAAACTGCAGTGTTTGTATGAAACTGCAGTGTTTGTATGAAACTGCAGTGTTTGTATGAAACTGCAGTGTTTGTATGAACTGCAGTGTTTGTATGAAACTGCAGTGTTTGTATGAAACTGCAGTGTTTGTATGAAACTGCAGTGTTTGTATGAAACTGCAGTGTTTGTATGAACTGCAGTGTTTGTATGAAACTGCAGTGTTTGTATGAAACTGCAGTGTTTGTATGAAACTGCAGTGTTTGTATGAAACTGCAGTGTTTGTATGAAACTGCAGTGTTTGTATGAACTGCAGTGTTTGTATGAAACTGCAGTGTTTGTATGAAACTGCAGTGTTTGTATGAACTGCAGTGTTTGTATGAAACTGCAGTGTTTGTATGAAACTGCAGTGTTTGTATGAAACTGCAGTGTTTGTATGAAACTGCAGTGTTTGTATGAAACTGCAGTGTTTGTATGAAACTGCAGTGTTTGTATGAAACTGCAGTGTTTGTATGAAACTGCAGTGTTTGTATGAAACTGCAGTGTTTGTATGAACTGCAGTGTTTGTATGAAACTGCAGTGTTTGTATGAAACTGCAGTGTTTGTATGAAACTGCAGTGTTTGTATGAAACTGCAGTGTTTGTATGAAACTGCAGTGTTTGTATGAACTGCAGTGTTTGTATGAAACTGCAGTGTTTGTATGAAACTGCAGTGTTTGTATGAAACTGCAGTGTTTGTATGAAACTGCAGTGTTTGTATGAACTGCAGTTTTTGTATGAGTTTTAAGGCGAAAATAAAATCACTATTATTACTTCATAATTGCGCATAAGAATGCTACCCAAAAAAGCTTTTAGCTATCAATTGAAAAAAATAAAGTTTAACATTTTTTAAATAAAGTCAAAGATTTTTTGAAATAAAGCATTGCTATACTTTAAATGTCATTTTTATTTTTAAATTTCATTTCTATTTGTAACTATTGGATAACATTTTTTCTTACTTAGTTTAATATTTTATTCATTCTAAAGAAAAGATCAAACAAGGCTTATGTAAAACTTTTAAAGAAAAGATCAAACAAGTCTTATTTAAAACTTTATAAGCCTTGTTTTAAATAAACATGGCTCATGTAAAACTATTAAAGCATATATAGTTGTAAGCAAATACAAAAAAAAACTTTAGTAAAACACCCATTTTTTAGTTATTATTCTATATTACAATATATGTGTGTGTGCATTTATGTGTAAATTTTTGTTAAAATAAAATAATTACAACTTATTAAAATTAAAAAAAAAAACATTAAATAATGTTTATAAGAGTGATTATAAGTTTAAAATTTTTTCACAAATAAACTGTTAAAAATCAAAACAATTAAATGCACATTCAACATAGATTTATTCAACATAGATAGTATTTTTTTTTTTTTTTTTTATTTTTTTTTGAAGTTTCTTGTTTTGAAATTCTCTCAAACTTTGTAATTTTTGTCTTGTGTAAAAGATGAATTTGTTCTCTTTATTTGTTTTTTGTGAAGTAGAACTTTTTAAAATGGTCTAAGATTTAGGTGTCATGCATGGTTTGATTTTAGGGCGCTTGATACAACCTTTTGTTCATCAATCATATCATCTTATTTTTAAATAATTCTTAAAAATAATTATGATGTGGTAGGATGTGCCATCTGATGTTCTCGAAACTTGATTTATAACAACTTTATGACGGCCTTCAGCAGTAGATACTAAATGTTTCTGTCAGAAGACAATTAGTTACTTTGGAATATAGGAAGTTGTTATTGTAGAAAGCATTTTATAAAAAAGAATATATTAGAATATATATAGAAAAATCTGCAAGAATATTCCTGGCATTATGTATTGTGGTATATGCTAGTGTCAGTATGCCAAATAAATCATGTGTTGTTATTGTTTTGCACAAATTGGATAAAAACCCATTATTCTGACAAGACAATTTTTGCTTAAAAGGACTATTAAATGCCATTTTCAAAAGCTGCATTTGATAGTTGTTGTGGGGAGGAAGTATTAAAACTGCCATTCCATTTTAACAACATTAATTGATGGCATCTGGTGTAGAATAGTTAAGATTGTCTAAGAAGAGTAAAACTGGATCATCTTTTGGTCATTTGCCTTTTTCTTTTTTTTTAATGTTCTAGAACCTTTAAAAACAAAAGTCTTGTCGCCCAGCTACTTGTTGGACTGTTTTTATAACCTATACAACCAAGTGGTCCTCCCTAATCATGGTGTCATGAAACCTTTCTTGGGAAATATAAAAACAAGCGGAATAAAATGGCATTTCCTTTATCACATATAGTAATTAGCTGCCTACATTCAGCACACACTGTTTTACTTGTTTTGTTTCAGTGTTGCTATATATAATCAAGTTATAGCAGAATTATCACTATGTTGGTTTCATCAATATTATAAATTCTATCAGGAGTAAAGTTATGTTTGTTTTTTTGTAATTTTTTCGTAATTTTCATAAGATTTATTTACACTGTGCTGATTAATATGTGTTGAGCAAGACCAGAGAGATTGAGCAAGACAAGAGAGATTGAGCAAGACCAGCTTAGATTTTTAGTTTTTCAGATTCTGAGATATTTAAAGCTAACTACTTCTGTTGTAGACTATTTATAATAATAAAGTAGTGACCATTAAAAGTAAAAAAAAAAAAAAGTAGGCCTATTGTCATTATCGTCTGTTCAGTGGTGGTGATCACCAATGAACAGACATAATGCTGTTAAAACCTCTATCACCACTGAACAGACCTTAATGCTGTTAAAACTTCTAATCTAAATTCAAATTCCAGAAATGATTATGACTTTCTTCTGAATTTCATAACTGTAGGAATGATATGTGGGTATTGTAAATTACCATATTCTAATGCAGTATTTTTTCAACTTCATTTAACATTTGACTTTGATTCAAGTAAGAAGATGATATGATATCACTGCCATTTTGTATCTGTCACACATGTTATTCCGGCGAGTATTTTAAGGCAATAAAAAGATTCAGTTTACCAGCTTTTCTATATTCTGCCAAAACAAAGCGGCGTTTCCTGACATATTTGACAATATTTACTTAATATGATCTATACGATCTTGGACTTGTCAATTTCTAGGTCTTGTGCTAACAAGTTAATTAAATGTGCTGAGTAACCATATGGACCATATATCAGTAACCATATAACTACATCAATGATCAAGATTCAATATTAAAGATCAAAATTCAAAGTTATGCTTCATTTTTGATACATGCTTCCTACATGACAGCCAAATTCGAGCTCTATTTTTTTAATTGATAGAACTGCTAGTTCTTCAAGATGTTCACAAGTATTAGAGCTTCCAGATGTGTCACTTATGTCAGCTAAATAGACATCACTTGTTTCAGTTGTAACTGTAACACAAATGATAGGCTCCTTGTGATTGTTTGATCAACCATTCAGTACTATATTAACAATCTTTTTGTATAAAGCATCTTTTGTTTTATCCTTTTCTTTATAAAATACAATTGGTAGGAGTTTTTCAATTTTTCTTTTAATTTTGAAGTATTGCTAGATATGCAGCAGTATGATACCACGTCACATAATATAATATTTATAATATAAATATTTTGTCTCAAATTGAGTATAAAATATTCATTTGTATAATAAGTTTCAACATGTTACTTGTATTTCACTATTAGGAAATCATAAAACCTTTTGTGACAACCATAGTTTAAGATTTAATTGTTAGCTATTTCTAATTACAATATTTTATTTACTCTATATTTTATGACCTACTGCTATATTTTTTTATGAACTACATTTATTTTTTATGATTTATCTGCCATATTTTGTGATGATCAAGTAAATAAATTTTTGGGAAAGAAACATTCTCAGTAATTAAAGTAAAGCTTATAGTTTTTTTTTAACGTAAAAAAAATTAAAGTTTGTTCAGAATGACATATTAAACTTAAATATTTTTTATTGATCTTTTGAATGAAAATATATATTTTTTTGTACTTATTATTCAATCAATGTTGTGATTATTAAGTACTTAATCACAACTGTGATTCTTAAGTACATAATCACAACAGTAATTCTTAAGTACATAATCACAACAGTGATTGTGTAAAATTGTGATTATTAAGTACATTTTTATATACTTAATAATCACTATGTACTTGATAATCACATGTTTTAAATACAGTGTGTTAAACGTTTTTTTTTTTTTAAGGAAGGGTAGATAGTCTTTATAGATTTATTGCTGCAACATTTTTAAGATTTAAATGTGTTTATTGAAAAGATCTGAAATAAAATATTATTAAATATAATATAAATAATAAATTTTGTTATTGGAATATTAAAAACACTTTTGTTATTGGAATATTAAAAATACTTTTGTTATTGGAATATTAAAAACACTTTTGTTATTGGAATATTAAAAACACTTTTGTTATTGGAATATTACAAACTTAGTGTTTTAAGTGCTTTAATTTTTGTTCTTTTTTTATTTTTAGGTAAATGAAAACGATCAAGTAGTTCAAAAAAAATTTAAACAAATTGATGAAAAATTAAAAGAAATAAAAATAATTGAATTCAAGAAAGAAGAAATGCAATTGGTCAGACTTTTTTATTTTTTTATTTACTTTTAAAAATTTTTTAACTTTTTTTTACAGATTATTTTACAGAACAAATTGTTTTGATTACAAAATTGTGTATTTCATTTCTCTTATTGTGTAATTAGTTTTGTGAAGATTTTTTATCCAAAAAGTATTAATTAGCCTCTATAAAAGTAATGCAACACTAATCATGAAGCTAGTAAAACATTATTTTTAAAAAAAAAAACTGTATTTTTTATAGTTTAATTACTAAGTTTTTATATTAAAAAATTGTTTTTTAAAATAATAATTAATATCGTTTAAAAAAACATACAATGATTTTATAAATAACTCTGTTTGCTAAGAATGTATAGGTTTAGTTTGAGTAATTTTGTTACTATTTTTAGCGTCTTGAAGAATGCAAAATGTTGTCAGAATCACAAACAGATATAGTCAATTTTATTTCTACACAATGCGATTTAGCTTATAAGCAAATAAAAGAAGCATCTCCTGAAGATCAACACATGTAAGATATTATTACTATTTTAGTTTGGTTCTACTCACTTTTTTAGTTTATTGCAAAAGTGGTGTAGAGTTATACTTTTTTTTTTTTTTTATCTTTTCTAGTTTGGTTCTAATCTTATTGTCTACTCACTATAAATTTTACTATAGTCTTTTTTATCTATTCTAGTTTGATCCTAATCTTATTGTCTACTCTCTAAAAATGTTTCTCTAATTTCTCTAAAAAATTTTCTCTAACTTTTTTATTCTAATTCTATAGTGGTTTAGAGTGCTTGCTTTGTTAGAAAAACATTTTAAGTCAATTGCTGACATACTTAAATACTGACTGTCCTTATTAGTAACTTGTTTCTTCATACAGTTGCCTTTTTATTTAAGGTTCTTTTTTTGAAGTTAGAGAGGTTTTATTTAAGGTTCTTTTTTTAGAGAAAAAGAGCTGAAATAACTATTTAAAAATAATAATAAAGCTGAAATAACTATTTAAAAATAGCTTTTGTGACTGCAGTGTCCTACAATGTTTTTAAACAAATAGTTGTGCATTATAGATAAATATATTAAAAACTAAAATAACTGCAAATTATTTTTACTTATAATTTTTCTCATTTGATAAAAATTAAAGTTTATTTTAAAGTTTTTAAATTTATAATTAATAAATTTAGGACTTAAATAAATTTAATAATTGCAAAATTAAAATTATTGTATGTTAATAATGGCAGGATTTAAATTAATTTATTTATAAATGCAGGTCTCAAATTCAGATTATTAATAAATGTTGGACTCAAATTGCAAATATATAGCTTTTTTCTATTTTATAAAAATTTCTGAAAAATTATGATTATTTTTCAATTACATTTGCAAACAATTTAAGGAAACTGGAAGTAATAACTTTAAAAATTTAACAAACTTAACTTTACAATAAAGCAAGACAAAGTTTTAAAAATTTAAATAATAATTTGAAACTCAATGTATTTATTTATAATGCACAACTATTTGTTTAAAGACATTAGAGGCGCTGCAGTCACAAAAGCTATTCAATTTTATTATTTTTAAATAGCTGTTTCAGCCCTCTCTCAGCCTTTTAACTTCAAAACAAGAACCTTAAGGAAAAAGGCAACTGTATTATTAATTAATTTTGTTATTAATATAAAAAATTCAACGTTAAACTGTATAACTTGCAAGTTATGTTATTATTATTGTGTTAAATTTGCAATAAAAAGAGAAAAAAACTATAAAATAAAACTTGATTAAAAAAATTGTTGGGGTTTTTTTTTAATTTATGTCTATATTTTTATTATTGTCTTCTATTTTCATAATTAAACAATAACTATCAAAATAAAATAATAAGAATTTTTTTCCTGTGGTTGGTAAATGATGAAATGAAAAAGTTTTTTTATTTATAAAATTCTCATTTTTTTAATCTCTAATAGTTTTGTAATAACAGTTGTGGTGCTTGTTTCATAAGCAAGATTTACAAGATTCAAACCCACTATTTTTCTGGTAGTATTTTGGGTTTAACCTCACACAGGGCTTTATTGTTTATTAAGATTTAAGCTTTGAAGTTATAGGGCGAGAGAGAGTTGTAATAATAATTAATTAAAAATGAGGCTGGGGCTGGGTTTGTGACTAGGTCTGTATAAACATTTATTCATCCTAAAAGTATATTATTTTTATTTGAAGTTTATGTTATAACTCAAACCTCCAAGGGGCCAAGGAAAATGGTTTAACGAATGTTAAACTAAAGCAAATTTTTGTTAAGTCAAACTTTGATATGAGGTATTAGTTTGAGTTAAGGCAATTTTTCTTTATTCAGCAAAAGAAGATACATATTGTATTCACTCTGTCACTCAAAAGTTCACATTTAAAAGTTTATCAACACATTGGCTTCCTTATAATTTTGTAATACTATTGTATCAAAATATATTGTATTAAAATTTTATTAAAGCTTCAAAATAATTTCAACTTTATTTTATTTTGATTCATTTTGTAAAAGTTTTAGTTTTTATTTTATGTTTGATAACGAGATATTCAGATCTATTTACTATTCTAATCAGATCTAATTACAACAAAAAAATATTAAAAAATATTAGGTTACTGTTATTTATGTTTTAGATGACTTCTTAAAAAATATAAAAAATATTAGGTTACTGTTATTTATGTTTTAGATGACTTCTTAAAAAATATAAAAAATATTAGGTTACTGTTATTTATGTTTTAGATGACTTCTTAAAAAATATAAAAAATAATAGGTTACTGTTATTTATGTTTTAGATGACTTCTAAAAAGATTTAAAAAATATTAGGTTACTTTTATTTATGTTTTAGATGACTTTTAAAAAAATATAAAAAATATTAGGTTACTGTTATTTATATATTAGATGACTTCTAAAAAAATATAAAAAATATTAGGTTACTGCTATTTATGTTTTAGATGATTTCTAAAAAAAAAAAATCAAGCTATTTTGATTTTTTAATTTTCCATAAAAAAAGTTCAAGTTAACTAAAGGAATTTGCTGAAAGGAAACGAATAAATGGTTTGACAAAGTTTGAGTTATCCGAGGTTCGACCTAACCAGAAAATTTTATTAGTAATCAATTAGAAAATTTCAAGGGACCAAATTAAACAGTTTGAGATAACAAAAGTTTGAATTAATGGGTATTCGACTTACCAGGAATTAAATGTATATATATATATATACATAGGCATCATCATGATCATTATAATTAACATCATCATCATCATCATCATCATCATCATCATTGCTTTAGTCTCCCCATTTATGATGTTTTTCTAATATAAATAATATTGAGGATCTTTTGTATGCTCAAGATGTTTATATTAGAATCTTAAACATACATAAGATACTATTTCCTTAGCTGAAATTTGCTCATACCATATGTAATACCATATGTAGTACCATGCTTTACACCGTATGTAATACCATGTTGCTTCTACCTCAGTCTTTTTCTCATGAAGCTGCTACCTTTCTACATGATGATACCCAAAATATCTGACCCAAAATAATTCTCATTGCTCAACATACCCAAATCATCTTCTTACCCAAACCACCTTAACCTTCTCTGAATCTTGTCTAATACACTCACTATTTTTAATCTCAGTCTAAGGTGATGGCTTTTTTTTTTCTTTTCTTTTTAGATGCAAATACTACGCCATATAAATAGATAAACACTTGCATTTATTTTGGAAACTAAATGTCTTATGGCTGTATTTTGCATTTTTTATGTAAAGTTTCTATTTAAAGCTCTTTTGAATAATTTTTTTAGATGATACTATTTTGATTGTACTGGGTAAACTATACTCCTGTGGGTTGTATGGCTTTTTGTTTTAATGTGATAGAATTTAAAATGGAAATAGTAATGCAAATTTATTTTAAAACTGCTGCGAGTATGATATTATTTTGATATAATAAAATAGTCCAAAGTTTTCTTGATTGAAACTATAAAATTTTCCATACTTAATCAGTGATAAAATCAAAGTGTTGAAGAAATAGTTCAGGCGCAATTTAAAAATAAAAAAATAAATACAATTATAAACCAAAAATAATACTTAATTTAGTAATTTTTAATTAATAAAATAGAAAAACATCATAATAGTTGAAACTTATGTACAATTTGTTTGTAGAACTTATTATTATCATTATTATTATTATTATCTTAAGACATAATCATTCTCGTTATCATCATAATGTCAGCTCTCATTTATGAAATATGTTGAACAAGGTGTTTCACAAATGTTCATTAATGCAAATGAAATCTTAATTTATATATTTTTTCATTATTATTAATAGTTTTTTTCTTATTTGTTTTTCCAAGCTTTTTAGAGAGCAAAAGAGTCTTAGAAAGTATTCTACAAATAGAGAAAAATACATGGAATCAGCTAGATGCAGAGTTAGTCACACTTACATATGAATATGACACCCTTAAAGCCCAACTCACTGATCTTGGGACAGAATTGCCAGTTCTTCAAGAGGAATATAGTCAACTTGAAAAGTATGTTTTGCTACCATTATTTCGATAGAAAAATTTAGTATTGCGATCTTAAATTTAACTCATAACTTTTTTCCTTTACAGACAAATGGAAAAGTATTTTCCTGATGAAAAGATGAAAATTCAGTCAGAAAAAATGGAAGAGTAAGTTTGTTATAAAAGTAATCAAATTTTTTTTTTTTTTCAATTCTTTGTATTATATAATAAAAAATGTGTAGTGGTAGTAAAAGTGTGATGTGGTGGTAGAGTGCTTTATACAGTGACCACACCACATCATTAGTGGTATTGTACTTAACACATTCATGTAGCAGACAATTTGTTTAAACTTCGTGTTGTGGAGTTGTAAGGTTGAGAAATAGTTGATAAAATAAATAATAATAAAATAAACTTTATAAAAAATGAATCAACTTGATTGACTTTTGTGGTCCCCTTGTTTTTAATGAAGTGAAAGAAATTTAAAAAAATGAAATCAGCCACATAAAAAAGTTTTTTTTATGTAATCTTAAAACAATTTTTTTTTTTTTAGCATCTATGATGTCTTGCCTGTATCTCAGCCTCGCAGACAAAGCATTGGCCAGGAATATCCTACTCCTGATGGTTTAGATGAAAGTTTATGGCTGTTTGGTGAATTAGAAAGGTTTGATTAAAAGTTTTTATTAGAGATATTTATTTATAAAAATTTTTATTTTAATTAGGAATCAACTTGTTTTCCGTTAATTTTGTGCAGCCTTTACATACTTGTCAATGAGTTGACACTTGATGATAAACTTTATAAATCTATAAAAAATAATTTAGATATAAATCTATAAGAAATAATTTATAAGAAACTTTTTCTTATAAATGTAAATGTAGTATAGGCTGTAAATATAATTCACTTTGTATTATATTTACACCCATTACCTCACCTACATTTTATTTACCAGGATTAGTACCATCTTATTAACTGCCCTTTCTGACTATTAATTACTATTTTTTTCTGGTCTTTAGTAATTAGGAACTCTAAATGTGTTAAGTGGCTTATGATCTACTATAAGAAAAAAGTTCATAAGATTTAATGACTTGAAACTTTTTATTTTTATTTAGGAGTCCCAGAGTCCTGGAGTTTTACTTTTAGTCAGGAGTCCCGAAGTCTTAGCTAAATCTTGCACATAAAGACTCTAATTTCTAAATTGATTGTTCCTTTTGCCTGAAAATCTTAACTTTTTTTCTAAAAGTAGTTCATAAATCTTTTTACATATTTGGAGCTCCTGGATATTAAAAACCAGAATTAATAATAATTACTTACTTAATTAAAAACCAGGATTAATAAATAATTACTTTTGTGACTTGAATAAGAATAAAAAATTTTGAATAAAATAGATTCGAATAAAAACCTTTAAAAAAGCTTATTGATAAAGTCTTGATATAGCTTTGATAGCTTCAAACATTAAAAAAAAAGATTCCTGTGTAAAAAAAAATATTCTTTTAGAGAACAAATAGTGGAAATGCTAGAAAATAAACCAAATGGAACATTTCTTGTTCGAAAAAGTAAACAGTACACATACTGTATTTCCCTTGTGTAAGTAGATTTTTTTTTGTAAATTTTAAGAATAATTTGTTAGCAATTTTTGGTATATGAGTTATCATTTATTAGCTTATAAATATAGATTTAGAGATGTTTTATTTTTGAGGAATATATGGTATCTATTATTATCAGGTTGATAAGTTTTTGATTTTGAGTTTTATAATGAAATTAAAGTTATGTATTTATTTTGTATATTAACAATAAATGTATAGTTAAATTTATAAATAGTATTTGTTTTTTAAAAAGCATTTTATTACCTTCGCTTGCCATGTTTTCAACACATTCACATCATGTTTACATCACATTCACATCATGTTATTTTCCTATTATCCATTTTTTATTGAATGAAGTTTGTCTTTTTTATAGAACACTTTATTTTTGTACTAGTGGTAAAAACATGTTCATTAAAATGTCTCTCTATAAAGTATAGTGTTTTTTAGCATAGCTATGAAAAAAAAAAACTTTTCTTTGTAACACAGCAGCATAGCTATGGTAAAATAATTTTTTAAATTTACAATTACAAAAAAATTTTATATACAATTATATACAAGGGATTTTGTTGGCAAATTATTTTTTATGTCAAACTTTAAAAGAATAGTAATAGCAAAAAATAACAAAAATAAAATGACGATAAAAAATTTTTCTAATTTTACAACCATTTCAAAATATACACAGTACTAAAATAGTATGGCAAGTATAATACTTAAATTATTATGTTTTAAACTCTTGCATATGTGTAAAAATAGTTTTTACAGATTATTGATAAGAGATCTCAAAGTTCATTGAAGCCTCTGCTCTCTAATTTTGAGTTTGAATTTTTGCTTGTTTTTTATCATCATATTTTGTATAATTTGTTATTTATCATTAAAATTAAAAATTGTTTGGCAGAAGGTTTGGTTTTGACTCAAATATTAAAAAGTGCAAGTGTTGACAACAGTAAAAAATCGAAGCAGAAAAGAAAATCTGTCTTATCAAGACAAGACAAGAAATAGTGCTAGTATCTCTAGTATTAATACATATAGCCCACATAATTCAACTCCAAGCAAACCTGCAACAAAAAAGTTAACTAATTTCTGGTTAGTTACACATCCTTTAACATCAGTTAATAGAGTCAAACTGCCTTATTGTAAGCAAGTTATAAAGTTTTGTTTCTAAGGAGTGATCCAGAAAATTTTTAAAATAAATGAAGAGTGAGGATATTGTTTTAGCTGCAGTTGATGCTGTGGTTGTGTTTTAGAATATAAAAGTTATACCCTGTTGCACGTTTGGTGTTATTAAACTTATTAAAAGAAGAACAACTGACTCAGGCAACATATAAATAAACTATTAAACGGTTTAACTTTTTGACATTGGTGCACCTGACACCATAGATAAAATAATAAAATCAAAGTTTTTGTCTGAACAAAAAAAAAACTTGATAAAATTTTTAAAACTAAACTAAATAAAACTTGCAAGATAAGCACATGAAGCAAAAATTACAGAAATAAACAGTGCAGATCAGAAATGTTATAAGAAGATCAGGTTGAAAGAGTTTCTGCTTTGTTAGAATATAATTCTGAAACACAATTAAATAAAGAAGACCGAGTTAAAATTGATTTTGAGTTCGAAATAAAGCTACACCAAGAAGAAATGAATAAGGACAAATGTATAAATCTTAAGCTAACTAAGAAAATAATGTGATAAAAAGATTACTGATCATCTTAAGCTTTAGTAATTACTGATCATCTTAAGCTTTCGGACAATCAAATGACAATCATTATATCAACAATAATAAAAGCTGCTGGAGGTAATTTGGAGGTGTCTTAAGATCTACAACTTGGCGAATAAGAATGTGCAATCGCCAAAAGATTGCAGAAAGTGATATTAAGGCAGTAAAACAGTCAATATATGGTGGATTGCATTGGGATGTTAGGCTTTTAAAAGTTATGTTGGGAAACCCTAATAAACGGCTTTCGGTTCTTTTTAGGATTCCTGAACACAAAAAAAGGAAAATTTTTAGGTATCTATTCTCTAGCTAGCTCGCAATCGGAAACTCAGGTTTGAAACTGAAAATCAGATTTTAAGCTGCAACGCTTGAACGTTACAAGTTTTGAATTTCTCAGACTGAATTTTAGCTAATGGTTGACTGCCTGCAGTAATGGTAAACACAAAGGAGTTAATGGATGTGTTAACAATGATATTGCTAATGTTTTGATTAACAAGCTCTGTTTCGTGAATGGTACTTTTCTGAAGAAGTTTTCATATTTGCCTTACTTTACAAACCAATTGACAAGATTTTTCAAACCAATTGACCAGTGAAATTCGGACAATCCTTTAAGAGTTGCAGAACAGCATAATAGTACAGTTAAAGTTATCAATAATGCAGCGGAGCATAGTTTCAATTTTGAATTTTGTTATCATCATCGCAACTGCTTAAGCAAAGGAGATTATTTCAACTTTTATAAGAACACTGAATCTGTGAAACTACTTTTGTTTTGCAAAAAAAATTTCTACATTTTCATATTACTCATCACCTATCAGACCGTACTGGTAAATTTTGTTAAGGCTCATTTTTGAAAAATAAGGCAGTTTAGAATACCAAATAAATATTATTTTTGATTTATTTAACCAAACTTTGCAACTAGATCCAAAAGTCCAGTTACTTTATGAAAAACATACAGCAAAAAAAACCTCAGAGAAACAAAAAAACAAAGTTATATTTGAGTAAGTGTTAGTTGAGTAAATTTCGAAACAATTGGATAGGTGCATTATGTAAAAGAAAATAACTAAGTGAAAGGAATGGTAGTAATTAATCATGCCTTCACCAACAGTAAAAGAAGTACAGGTCAGATCAAACTTTTATAGAGCTATATAAAGTTTGCAACGAGGACAAGAGTTGTCAGTAAATAAAATAGAAATAGAATTATTAATTATATATTAGTTGTATCCTATTTCAAGGTCACGTACCTCGGAGACTGGACTGTTAAAACATTTATAAATTTTGACATTACAATAATTTTTTTATTACAATAACAATAAATTGTTATTGTATTATAAAGATGAATTACAATACAATATTTATTGTTATTGTAGTGGGTCATTACAATACTTTTTTTTTTTCAGATATTGTTATTGTATTATGTAGATGAATTGCAATACAATATTTATTGTTATTGTATTACAGTATTACAAAATTGTAAATCACAGGTATTGTTATTGTTTCTAAAAAAGTTAAAACAATAACAATAGTTATTGTTTCTGTTATTGTTTTCATTACAATTACAACAGTTGTTGTAATTGTAATGAAAACAATTACAACAACTGTTGTAATTGTAATGAATTGTAATGCAAAACTAGTTTTAAAAATTATTTAAAATTTTTAAAAAATGTTTTAAAAGGTTGATACGTTAAGTTAAAGTTTACATTACTCTTATTTTAAAAAATTAATAAAAATTTGTAAATTTTGCGAAGATTTTGCGATGCGACTCATTTTTAATTTTGTTAGTTTTTATGTTTTTATTGAGGTATTTTTATTTTTTACTTTTTTTTAGGCATGATAAAGGTAACCCTCCTAAGATAAAACACATTCCGATTTTAAAAGGACCACATGGTTACGGTTTTGCTGAACCTCATAACATATACCCTACTCTACAATCTCTTATCAATCACTACCATTCTCAATCCTTGCGGATGCATAATAGCTCATTAGACACCACCTTAAAAACCCCTTATCGATTCTTCGAACACTGAATAGAAAAATCTGGTATTAAATAAATCATGTGGTTTTATTTTGCATTTAACCTGGATGTAATAATAAAAAGACAAACAAACTGAATGGTATAAAATGTGGCATTATGCAAACAGATTAAGATCGACTTTATGCAACTTTTCACCTGTCTCAAAATAAATTGACTGGCTAAAAACTTCAAGTTTCAGTTTAATAGACAACTCGTTTATATATTTGATAAATGATGTAAATTTAAGTGTTTTAGATTTTTTAAATTCATGCGGTTTTCATTTGTAGTAAAAGGGAACAGTACATAACTCGTAATTGGGAGGGGGTTAGCAGTGTCAATTTTAGAAATAAAATAAGGGGAGGGGGGCGGGAAAATCTTTAAAAACTACCGACTGCTTTCTATCTCTATAGCTTTCTATGTAAAATGGGTTCAACTTAGTGTAATGATAAAGTAACGTAACTCGTCTTGACCTTCATATTCAAGCTGACGTTTGTGTCACCTTTTACATTCATCGGGTTCAAAGTTTGCTTCTGTTTCTAGTTCCTTTGCAATCGTCATCAATTAAAACTTATAAAAATCATTATCTTACCTACATGTTAAGATAATTCTATTCTCTTGAAGTTGTTTTGTAGTTGAACTATATCAGAACCTTTTTGTCGTTTTTTGCTTGTAACATTCGCTTTGTTAAGGATGTTGTACCGTATGGTATTAGATATTATAAATTTGAATTTATAAATTACATTAGCAAGAGCCTTTGCACCCGTTTGGTAATTATTACCAGATAAATTATTACGTCTTGAGTCATTAAGATTTTCCATTAAAGCATCAAATTTTCACCAAGCTGATATCTTCTACTATACCTTCAAAACATCAATTCTATTTTCCCATATTGTTTTGATGATTTAACCATTAAATTAAATATGGATAGGAAGCACATACCAACGTTGTATCAATGCTGAGAAGTAATCATAAATCGGTGGAACTAAATGGAAGAAATTACTCACTTTTATGCAACATTTAAAAGGCATGATTGACAACTAAGTTAAAAAAATTGGGCATTGTAGAGAATAAAAATCGATCGCGGGTTTATGTTTTGATTTCGGTTATGTGTACCTTTTTTTTTCCCTTTAGTTTTACTTCCATTATCATACGCTTGCTCACGTCCATTTTCAATTTGTAATTCTATTTGCTTTACAAATAATTTATCAAAAAAAAAATTAATTATTATTTGAAAATTTTTTATCTGTCGATCCTCTAGCTTGTTATTAGCGATGAATCCGTTTATACATTTTTTCAACAGAAGATACAGAGGTTCCAGTAGCTTTTGAGACTTGGTTGTAGTTTCATAATGGATTTTCTTCATATATGACCAAGATTTTTTTCCGATTTTTAATTTGTTTCAATGACACAAATAAATTATAATATGAATTTCGTTTTTTTTTTTTGTTTTTTTTTGTTTTTTTTTTGACAACTATTAGATTAAAATATTAGTGTTGTTTTTTTCTTTGTGTTTATTTGGAAAGTGGTTTAAACTAATTTGGTAAGGAATCTAGTAAGACTAATATATATATATATATATATATATATATATATATATATATATATATATATATATATATATATATATATATATATATATTTTTGATTTCATGCTTGATCATTGTGATTTGTAACTTTTCTTTAAAATTACCTATATTACATGTTTGATGTAACTTTTTGATGATGTAACTCCTTTTTCCATAAAAAAGCTATTCACACATAAAGGTGTATATTCATACATACATTTTCTGGCCCAGTTCGATGTGCACATTCAATTTCATTACCCTTTAAAGTTTTCGAAGAAAAAATGAAAGTACCTTTTCTTTGGTTTCTTCTCAAGATTCTATTTCTTTTTCACGTATTCCATCAATTCTCAAGTTTTAAAAATTCATTAATACTTTCTTTTTATCGATTACGTGTTCGCTGAAGTTTATCGATTACGTGTTCGCTGAAGTATCTCGATTTCGTGTTCGCTGAAGTTTAAACTTTTAGATGAGGAAAAAAAAAAAAAGGAAATTAAAGTCAACACGTCTTAATATAATAATGATGAAAAGTGGCTTGACCGCTATCGAGAAAAGTTACATAAAATTTCAAAGAAATCAAAAAGTGAATTACTTGTTTTGACCTAATTTTGCTAATTCTTTTTATACAAATGACTTCATGAACTTCTTGGAGCCTCAAAAACACTTTGTTTTAAAGTTAGAAAAACTTTCAAATATAACAGATGCTCGGCCTTTCGATCAGTTCTGAAGCGCACTGTCTACGAGACTCTAATTAGAAAGCAAAAATTATTTCTCAACTCGAACGTCGTACTGAGTAGTGTATTAACTATACCGAAAGAAAACTTTAGCTCTTCTATGACAAATAGCTTTTAATAACGTTGTTAAAAAACAATAAATATATAGGAGAAGACGAGGAGTGATGCAATTGCAAACTCAGCCTTAGGGGGTTCAGGGACGGATCTAGGATTTATTTCTCCTTTTGCGATTTTTTTTTTATATTACTGCACCCTCCCCCTAACTTTTTTTTGTTTTTTGTTATTAAGGTGATCTAAGAAGTCCTAATGGTCTTGTCACAGAGCACCGCCAAAAGGAGAATAGCATTTATAAGTTGGCTCTCCGTTTCCAACGTTATTGATAACGTTGGAAACGGAGAGCCAACTTATAAATGAACGATAAAAAAACGATATGTGCTTCGAGTAGGGATAGAGCTCCCAACCTTTAGATTATGAACCCAATGCTCTAACCACTGAGCCACGATTGTTATAACACAATCCCTTTCAGACAGTGGTACTCTCAGATACCAAATAAGCCTCCTCCCCTATTTACCATTTGTGAACTCCCCACTAATTCGAATTTATGTTTTTCAAAGGTTTTTACTTGGCACCAGGGAGGCTCCCCCTATGGTTTTTCCCCATAGCTCTCCCTATGGATTCACCCCATTTACAGGATTTGAAATTATTTTTTTGTGATTGAGACTTGCATTGCATTGTGATTGAGACTTGTATTTGCAGCCTTTTATAAAAATAAGCACGCAATTTCACCAAAAAAAATAATTTTTAATGCTAAACTAGTTAAGACAATATAAGCCTGAAATTCAAGCAAAAATTAACTTACGAAAATCGCTCCCTCCCAAATTATTGTTGTGGATTTTTTTGTATAAATAGAAACTAGATTCTGGTCATTATCTTTTACATAAAACATATGCAAAATTTAATAAAAATTATAGCTATACTAGCTACTCTTGATATCCATAATGTACTCAATGTCAACTAAAAATAAAAAAAGGAATTTGGAAATTTAAAATTAATCTGAATATTCTTGGTAATGTTCAGATTAATCTGCATTGGCTTAATAAACCAAATATTTCACAATCTTTATCGGCAACTAGCACCAGCCCTTTTTATTGATTTGCTAATTTTTTTTAGCCGATTTGAAGAATACAAACCGTTGAAAACAAAGAGTAAATTAACTAGGATTTTAATAATACATTTAAAAAAGTTTGATTTATTGAGTAATAACTAAATTCAGCCAAAAAAAAATCAAAAGAAATTAAATTTCTGACCATTTATCCCTCACAAAACAACGGGTGAAAATGTATCTGTCTGGAAGGTATTCGTTTAAAGCACATGAACCACGTCAAGGTTCCTTCCTATTCATGTGTACGATTTTTTATGCAGAACTAGTGAAGGCGTATGACAGGAAAACACACAATCAATTAGCAAACTGCTTTTTATTGCACATTTTCATCGATTGATTAACAGAAAAATTAATCATAAAAGATAAAGAGTATTGTGACAATAAAAAAAAGTTGTTTTTAAACATTTATAAACTTTTTAAAAAATATTTCATGATTTGAAATTACATACTGTTGGGTAAGGTTAGAAACAATTAACTTCAAATGTTGATTAAGTCCTCCTAATGATTGAACAAAGATAAAAACTATTCTGTAAATTAGGATAAAGATAAGAAAAATAATAGTTGTTAAAAATCGCTTAAAAATTTACACAAACCGTCTAAATCAAAAGCCTGGAATCGTAGTTGCAATTTTGAACAACAAAAAATAAAAATGTTCAGGTTATTTATTAATATTGTACAGGAGAGTTTCCTGAACAATATTACTAATAATAATAAAATAACAATTTTTTCTAAAACAAAAATCCCCTCAGAAAGTCAACTGCTAATTTAATGAAATAAAAATAAAGGATAAATATACTATAATATATATAAAATATATATTTTTGTACTGTTTCAACCAGAAAAGTTTTCCATAACTCTTTAATTACTAAAATGTTTAAATGTTTTAATTTTTATTTTCACTAATTTTAAATTTTAAGGTTGAAAAATACATTTATGGCAAAATGTATTTTTAGGCAATAAAATATATTTTTTTTACCCTACATATACATACAAATGAATGCAATACACTTTTGGTGTCAATTAGATAATTATTTGATTTTACTACAACATTTATAAAGATGTTTCAATATTTAAACATCATAAATGAATAATAGCAATTTAAAATGTATTCAAACTCTGAATCACTGAAGTGTTTAAGTTTTCACGAAAGGTTTAACTTGTGATTACTATTTCTTTGAAAGACCACACTCTGCATCTAAAGTTAATGGACTTGGCAAATCTTCAGAATAAAAATCATAAAAAATCTTTAGGCGCTCCATCCAATTGTTTTTTTCTGATGGACCATTTAACAAAGAAATTATTTTATCAGGGATAATACTCAAGCCATGGAACAAAGTTAGATTGTCAATGCCAAATCTTTCAGAAAGAGCTAAATCTAGGTGATCAACTACAGGGATGGTTAACACACGTTTATAAAATTCTCATGTATTCTCTGCTGGATGATTTTCGCGGTGGATTTGCCTCCCAACAGCTCTTCTTCTACATTCATCAACCCAAATTTATTCAGCAATAAATTTAGCATTAAGATAACACCTATAATGAAAACCAACTTTGTTTTTAATAGCTGTAATTCTATCAGTCAAAGAACGTTTAAGATCTATTCCAGTTTGCATATCTAAACTGCTGGATTGTAACATCTTAATCACTACGTGCGTTTCATCAAAAACAGCTATAGTCACAACAAAAGAAATAATTCGAAGGTATTGACCAATTTCAATAAAGATGTAGCTGTTTGCGAGTCTGCCCCAAACTTATACATGTCATTGCTTCAAGGGAATAAACTACTGGTATATACAACTCTTGAAATGTGTCGAAACCACCTATTCTTTCAAGCCACCTAGTTCGACAAACATCTTTAAGTTTTTTTTATCAGGACAGTGTTCTAAAATCATTATCTTTAAAAAAAGAATTTTTTTTGATAGAAAGATTAAAATAATAGAAAACTTCTTTTACATGGTTTATAGCAATACAGAGAAGTTGAACTTCGCAAGAATTACACACTGCTAGATTTAATCGATGACTAAAACAATGGGTGTATAAAGCCTTGTTGCTTAACTTTAAAATCCTTGTAAAAACTTTTGCATTTGATATATAGTTTGCACTGAAACATTATTTTAAGATTAACTTATGATTTGCCAGCAAAATATGAATAATTTGATACTAATGCTAATCTGATGTAAACCTCTGATTAAATAACTTAATGTAAATAAAGCAGTATAAACAAATAATAACTTACAGAATAGGTACTAGTTTATCTGATTTGGCATTTTTGTTTAAGTAGGCTTCAGCGCAAATATTTCGCTTAAGATGAACTTATGATAATTAGATAAAGAACTTATGATAATTAGATAAAAAGATAAATTAATGAATGCAAGTTTTCTTCAGTCAAAAAACATAAAGAATAAACTTGGAAGGAATACTTCTTGCTTTTCTCCTCGAATGTAACTTTATCGTTTCTCTCTAATACAATTCGTACATTATGAAAAATCGAAGGCATTTAAATTAGACACCTGAAGAAAGAAATGCTGAGTAAAAACCCTAAAATCATCGTCTTATTTTTTAGACTTTTTATGCGTAAACTATATCCCAATCGACCAAATTTCAAGCATATTGTTTAAATTTTTTAAGTTTCCAGACCTAAACTTAACCCAGTCGGCCAAGTTTCAGGGAAATATGCCTAGTTTTCTTAATTTCCTGATCAGATCGCCTTAGATCAGGTGGCCTTATGCATAAAAAGCCATTTCGCCAATCATAATATTTAACACTCTCGCGGTTTTAAATCCGAAACCGTGAAAAAAATCCTTATGAAATTTTGACTTGAAAAAAATGTAAAGTAAGATACACCTTAATTATAATATAATACTGCAGATCCGCCACTGGGGTTGTTCATAAATTACGTTACGCTTTGACTCCTCATACGGAACTTGTTACTAAAGAGTTACGATGTTGTGTCCAAGGGGAAATGAAGTAATTTGTGGACGATCTCTTACTCCGTTATATAGTGGTAATTTGATGCAACTGATAACAACGCTCTTTCCGATAGAAATCACTACACAATCACGATCTGTCGTTGTCCGGTCAAAGCAAAACACTTGAGTTTTTCTAGTTAAAAATGGTTACAAAAAAGCAGTTGGATGCCAGTTCCACCTAATTTATTTTTATAACAAAAACTAAGTAATAAAAAAAAAGTATTCTCCTCAATTATCCTGGGAAATTTCAAAGGAAGTGGCTTTCAAGTACAAGTCTACTCAAAAATTTGTTGAAATTAGATAATTGGACGTAAAGTTTGAAAGATTTAACAAAAGTCGGTACACCAAACAAACTAAAAGTAGTTGCTTAAAAATTTTCTTGTCACTTAAAATTTTAATATATAGCGGATTGCTGCTGTCAGTGCACTTGAAAGTTTTACGTATCGTGTATTGTTGTTTGCAACGAATCATAATTCATTTTTATTAAATCTTTTTTTTCAATTTTTGCATAGGCCGGTTTGGCGCTTAAACATCCATATAAACCTATATATAAAATTTAAAAGAAATACAAAAGCTATATCAAAAAAAAATGCTTTTGTTTTAAAAATTTGCCTAGTGGTTCGCTAACAATAAATGAAAACAAAAAACAATCTTTAGTTATAAATTAATACTGCAACGTTTACAAAACGTTTAGCAAATACTAAACGTTCAGCATTTAGAAAACGATCAGCATTTATAAAATGCATGAATAAATTTTTCGGGATTTTGCTCTAATGAAAGGCTGTTTAGCACCTTTTAGATCGAAGCCATTTAATACAAACCGCATAAAAATATTTCAAATTTATCTTCTTCGTTTTGGAGATCTAGAATGGTGACGTCTGTGTCTAGGTGATCTTGAGCGACTCCGATGACGATGACGACGTGGACTAGGACTAAAAAAAAATCATTTCTAAATTACAATTCTTTATTTAAACAAAAACAATGTTATATATATCACTATGTATCTACTTGTCAATGTTATATATATCATTATTTATCATATATCATCATTTATCCTTTTTTTAATGTATTAACGAAATTTTTAATGAATTACCTTCGTCTATTTCTATAAGGAGAAGCAGAACGCGATCTCCTCCTAAAAGCAAGACTTTAAAATTTTACTTCTGTTTATAACAATTCTTTATACATAGGTTCAATACAGTTTTATAAACATTATTTAACAAAAATGTTTTATTACAAATAGAATTAAAAATAAAAATAATCTTGTAATATTACATTTTATTATATACAAAAAATATGCTCAAAAAATATATCATCAGAAAACGATGAATGGAAATTGAGAACTAAGTTTTTGAATTTAAGAACAAAACACCCCACATTAATGTTTAATGAAGAAACACAATAAAATATAAATGACAAATGCAGAAATAAAAAAAATGTAGAAATAAATAAAAAAAAACAGAGAATAACTCTTTAAAACAGCTTACAAATTAGAAATGTAGAAATAAAAAAATATATATAGAGAATAACTCTTTAAAACAGCAAACATGATAGTATTAAAAAACAAAGTTATCTAGTAAATGTGTTAATAATATGTTTCAATAAGACAGTACTATGTTCCAGTATTTCCTGTAATGTTGCAGTAATTTGTTACAGGTTACGGATGATTTTTTTTTTGTTCAGTAATATCCAATCATATTGGATTTTTATACATTTTTTCCTTTGTAATTTTATTTTTTCTACAACCTAGAACTCTGAACGTACAGCTCTAAAGCTCAGTTGAATGATTCTTAGGCTGGCTGGTAAAGTTTCGTTACCAAACAGCTGTAAAATATCAGAGTATTAATAATGCTATACTGCCTGTTAGTAGATTGGTATACGTTGTCGAGGCCAAAAAGCATTGTAAGGAATCTTTTATTACAGCTTTAAATATCAAAAAACCATCATTACCACATCATTGTTTCTATCTATCTTTTACAAGCATTCATGGTCTTCAAATCATTTAAGTAACAAAAAAACCTGTAGCAAAAATCGCCATATCTATCTGCTCTTTGTAAGACTAGTTTAAATTCGGCTGTTTCATCTTCAGATCTTTTAGATTAGATTGTTTTCTTGCTCTACACTATAAACTTCACCTTTTCTCTTCTAGTAACTTCCATCTCTAATAGTGTTTGCTTGCAGCCTCGTTGGAAGCAAAGATGTAGAAAAAAAAAATCTTAGTGTAAATGGCTATTTTCTTTTGACTCAAAGATTTCAATATTCCTCGAACATCAATTCAATTATGAAACATAAAATCATGTTTGAAATCTTTTGCTAATTTTTATGTGCTTACTTTTAGCACCAAATTATTCATTAACTATTTCAAAATGTTATTTCTAATCAAGCCCTTCTTCTATTCTTCTTTCAGCTTGATGTGACTTTAATACTTATTACATTGAATTGCTTGGCTCAAGTACCACTGAACCTGCTTTCTTTCAGCCTGATGTTATTGGTGATTTTAATACTTATTACATTGAATTGCTTGGCTCAAGTACCACTGAACCTGCTTTCTTTCAGCCTGATGTTATTGGTGATTTTAATACTTATTACATTGAATTGCTTGGCTCAAGTACCACTGAACCTGCTTTCTTTCAGCCTGATGTTATTGGTGATTTTAATACTTATTACATTGAATTGCTTGGCTCAAGTACCACTGAACCTGCTTTCTTTCAGCCTGATGTTATTGGTGATTTTAATACTTATTACATTGAATTGCTTGGCTCAAGTACCACTGAACTTGCTTGCACTCAAATTTAATTTTTTTTATAACTATTACTCAGATATAAGGATTGCATCTAGAAATTCGAAATTCAGAAATTCCGGAATTTATTTTCATAATATAGTTTCGAATTCCGAAAATTTCCCAGTGAATTCCGAAATTAAAATTGATTTTTTCATGTTCTTTCCAACTTTTAAATTGTGTTTGGGGGTATCCATAAAGTACGTATGCAGTAAAATTGTAGCTGAAGTCAGAAAAAAAAACACAATTTTGATTTGTTACACATGCAAAATTCAATGTTTTAAAAAAATGTTTAATCATGTTTAGGAGAGATAGTCAAATCGCGTACATACTCACTGTCTTTAACACCCCCTTCCCCCTTTGTACGCGTTTGTTACTTTTGGGAAACCCCCTCTCCCCCCTACCTGTGTATGTACTTTATGGATAGACCTTTTTCATTTTTCATATAAATATTCTACATTCTAATTCTATAAGAAGACATGAAGAAAACAATGCTAAATTACAGTTATTCTGCATAATACAAGTAGACATAGAGAAAACATTCCTAAATTGCAGTTAACGGTTTGATGTCTTTAATTCATATCCATATGTAATAATTATTATATTTCTTTAACTTAGTGTTCGTGTCTTAAATTTTATGATTTGAAATTTGAATCTTGAAATTTTATGATTTTAAAACAGTGTTGAGATTTGTTTGAGTGCAGCGTGTATTGAATTATTTGGATCAATAACTTTTAAATAGGTATCAACAATATTTTTTAAGTAAGCAAATAATAGCAGGAATGATAGTAGTTTTAATTTAACAACATTATTTGATAATTGTTTAATTTTAATTTGCTGTGATGCAAAAAAAATGGCTTTTACCATGTAATCAGCAGTTGTGTTTAGCACATGCAATACATTTAGCTGTAATTGATGTTCTGTATAATAATTCGAATACAACTGAATCGGTTGCTCACACATATACAGAGTATGTTAGTGTAGAAGATCAAGGAATTGACTTCAAGGAATCGGATTAGGAATGCGTTAAGGATTAAAATGTTTGCTTGATTGAACAAACTTATAATGAAGCTGAGCATATTTAGACTGGAGAATTAGGATGTAGTTTTCTTATCAAAAAATTTTTTTCAATTGTAAAAAAATTTCGTTTTTTGAGAATCATTAAATAAATACTTCAAGTACATGTGAAACAAGAATTTGGAAAACAATTAAAACTTATTAAGAACACTAGAACTAGATGGAATAGCTTAGTCAAAATGCTTAAAAGATTTAACAAACTAAACAGCTGTATTAGATAAGGATTGATTAACATTGCATTTGATATCATTATTTTAGATGCTAAAATTTTGTTGATGAAAACATTCTCTGCCTTTCTCCCAGTGAAGCTTACTGTTGAAGCCCTTTGTCAAGAAAATGCAAATCTGCTTTCTGCTGATGCAGCATTTTCTTTTATGCTTGAGATCTGATAAACTGTCATTAAAGTTAAAGAACCGAATAAGCCAAAGACAAACAAATGTAACTTCAACTCTTCAATCTTTACACAATGGCGGAAAAAATGAGATTCAAGCATCTTTTACTATACCATTGAAAAATACAATAGTCAAAATTATTGAAAACTTTGTACAAAGATTGATAGTTAACACTAACATGGAAACTTCCTCAGGCAAGCAGTCAGAAGCTGACGATGTGGTAGAAGTGATGTCGGAAGAACAAACTAAGCCCTTAACACTAATGCAAAAGTTGCAGAACAAAATTTAATTGAATTTATCTTCCGACATAGAGTTCAACTCAACACAACAAATAATAAATTTATTAGTCTACTCATTTTTGATTTTAAATCCACCATCGAGCGTGAAGTCTGAGCAAGTCTTCTCAGTTGCTGGTAACTTCTGTACAAAAATTTGACAGAGACTCTGAGATGCAGCTTTAAGTGATCTCTGCTTCCTCAAGGCATATTTTAGGCAAATAAAACAATAATTTTATGTTTATTATTATTAAATGATATACCATAATAGAATGATTCTGCACTAATTGAATTTGATATAACTTTATGTTTCATTTTTATCTTTTAAAAAAAGTATTTTTTATGCAATGAATTTTTTATACAATGAATTATTTCAAACAATTTATTTGTATTATTTTATAGACATAAAAAAACTTAAATTTTTTTCGGAATTTGACCGAATTACGAAAATATTTAATTTCGAATTCCGATTTTTTTATTTTCACCAAAATTTGCATTCGCTACTTAAAGTTAACTTATTGACTCAATTCTCTATTTCTATCCTCTCTTGTTTTGTCAACCAAAAGTTTTACTTCAAATAATTTGTCATTCATAGAAGTTGTACTCTTTTGGTGTACTGTTTCTTCATGCTCCAAAAAACTTTAATTCAATTAGTTTTTTCCCATCGTTGTTCATTTAAATTCACTCTTATTTGTGCTTTCCTGACACATACAATTTACATTTTTTTAAATCTTCTCTGAAACAACTTCTTGCTCTTTAGCTCTCAGTTTTTCTTTTTGTTAAGATCTAACTTAAATAGTGGCCCTAACTTAAATAGTGGTCTTAACTTAAATAGTGGCCCTAACTTAAATAGTGGTCTTAACTTAAATAGTGGCCCTAACTTAGATAGTGGTCCTAACTTAAATAGTGTTCCTAACTTAAATAGTGGTTAATCACATTTATACTACCATTGGTAAGGAAGGATTCTATAATTTAAAATTTTTTTATCTGATACACTTAAGAAAAGAGCTTATGAAGAAGACCAGTATACCAAACTTTATGAAAGGTTTTAGAAATTTCGAAAGAATAGACTTAACCTCTCTACATTTATCTAATTCAAAATAAAACCTATCAGTTATAAATGTAACCAAATCAGCAGTAAAACAAGGAAATCAAAATCCATATTGATGATCAGAAAGTAAGTTATTAGATTCAAAATGAGAGATTAATTGTTTGTTAATTAAAGACTCAAAAACCTTGCTTATGATAGTTAGAAGACTATGATGGGACAGTAGTTAGACGGGTCAGATCATCCTCCAGAATTTTTGAAACTAGTGATAACAGATGTTGCTTTCCAGCAGGCATCTGTCGGAAAACAAGACTCTGATAAACACTTGTTAAATTAAATTAATTTGTTAAAAACTATAGTTTTGAAACTATAGACGAAAGCTCCAGAGAACACTTCTGCAAGACTATAACAGGTATGTTGTCTAGACCACAAGCTGTCTAAGCAGGAAATCACTTTAAATATAGAAACTGGAGTGATAGAAATGTCATAGAATGTAGTTGTAAGAGGTACACTGATAGGGGAACTCTGATGATGAAGAAGAAAAAGGCAATAGTTTTAGAGAGATCAAACCATGATCAGAAGCACCTAAGAGTAAATGTGGAGAAACTAAGCACTGACTAGGATCAGAAACAAGACATGAGTTGAGAAGAAAAGTAAATGATTTAGTATATATGGTATATAAAGTATATGAATTCGGTATGGTATATTTGGTATGGTATATATGATTCGATATTATATATGGTATGATATATCGATATGATATATGGCATTTGATATATGGTAAATAACTTGGTATATAATTAGCATATATCTTTATTATATATATAAATAGGTGCTGTAACTGTAAAAATCATAGTTAAAATTTTTGTTTCTATGGAACAATAATGTTGCTCATGTTAAAATTGCTATAGTATAAAATACAACCTTTTTTCTGGTGTTCTGCTTCTTCTGCGTTTACGTTCAATGGGAGACTCACTACGTTGTCTAATAGGCAGTTCTTCCTAAAAAAAAAAATGAATTCATTATCTTTATAAAAAGATAGCAGCTTTAAAACAAATAACTCAAAGAACCAGGAGGTGATGTCAATTATTTCTCAAAGCAATTCAAAAATTTCAAGAATAGAAAAAGATTTTTCACATTACAAATTTTTTGGTTATATAAAAAGTTTATTTTGAAAATAATAACTTGTATTTCTTCCTCTTCAGATTCCAAATCATCTAAATCATCTTCTAAAGCACTTATCTAAATAAAAGTAACAAATATCAAATAAATTCAATTATATAAATAAAAGCAACAAATATATTCATAAACTATTTTTATCATATTTTTTCCTTGGGAATCTTTTATTTTAAATTTTAGGAATAAGAATATCAGAATAAAAATGAATTCATAAATAGAAGAGTAATTTTTTTGAAATAATTAAACATTAAAACATTTTTATTTAGAAGTCATTCAGAAACATAATCTTAATACATAATAACATATATAACATAATAATATAATAATAACAAATAATAATCAACAACAATAATAAACAATAATAAACAACAATAATAAACATTATTAATAACATAATAACATAAATCATTTAGAAACATAATTATAATCCCAAACATAATCTTAAAAACAGAAACTTTAACATTTAAAATCAAATCTTAAAAATAGAAACTTTAACATTTAAAATCAAATCTTAAAAACAGAAACTTTAACATTTAAAATCAAATCTTAAAAATAGAAACTTTAACATTTAAAATCAAATCTTAAAAACAGAAACTTTAACATTTAAAATCAAATCTTAAAAACAGAAACTTTAACATTTAAAATCAAATCTTAAAAACAGAAACTTTAACATTTAAAATCAAATAAGAAAACTTTTTATCAGGTTGAGTGAATTTTCAAAAATTAAAGATGTTGTCGTACTTAAGACAAAGATGTATATATAAAATCGTATGTACATTTGTTGTTTATTTATGAAATTAAATGTTCTTTTTTACATGACAATGACTCTCTCAAAAAAAGAAATATAACAAAAAAGTTTATATTGCAATTATGCAAAGTTAAACTCAATGTTAAAAAAAAACAAAAAACATTGTTTTATTTTATTTCCATATAGTTTCCTTTACTTCAAAACATTTTTCAAAATCTCAGTAATGTCACCCAGGAAAAAAATCAAACAAGAAATAAAAAAAAACCTAGCTTTAATTATTACATTAATTTGAATTTCCAGTCATTTCTTAAAATAAAAAAAATAATACAAAAAGTAAGAAAATATTAAAAAATAAAACAATAAATAAATTGTTGTTTATCAATCAAAATTTTTACTGTACCAAAATTTATATTAAAATGTTCTCCACAGCAATAACAAAATTTTGATCATGTTATTCAAATTTTCCAAATAAAAATACTCACATATATATATATATATATACATAACATCACATATATATACACATAACATCACATATAGATACACATAACATCACATATATATACACATAACATCACATATATATACACATAACATCACATATATATACACATAACATCTGAACTTAAATATTTTTTAAATTATTATAATTATTATTTTTTAATTTTGATTCCCACTAAGGCTGCGAGCAACCACTATTAAGTTGGAAGTTACTAGAAGAAAATAAAGAGTTATAGAGCAAGGAAACAATTGACTGTAGACTTAAAAAGTTGAAGGTTGTATGAGTCAGGAAAACATGAAGATGGAAGAGAGTTTCAAAGCATTGAAGTGTGGGGAAAAAAACTAGACCAGTAAAAGTTTCTAGAGCATGCAAAGACTGATAAAGTAAAAGAATGAGACTTTGATGAATGACGAGTCAAGTGAGATTGAGTTTTAGTTGATGGAAATAGGGATGATAGCTCTTTTGAGCAGTGCCCATGATAATATATTTGTAGAAAATAGAAAGAGATGCAACTTTACGAAGATGGAAAAGAGGCTCAAGCTTAGCAGAGAGAGTGAGTCCAACTACGTTTACAATGAATTTTTAATATTTTAAATATAAATCTAATTCATGACTAAATTTGACTAAAACTTATATAGGACTAACCCTGGGCTCTAATTCTTCCAAGTCTTCTAGTATATGTCGCTTCTAAAATAAAAATTACACTAAAGTTATATTTATTAGACAAAATAGGAAAGTTACATATCAAGTAGCATATTATAAAAAAATACACCATATAAGAAATTACATCAATTTTCTTATGTCATTCTATATTAGCTATATAAAGGTAATAAACAAAAATATCAGGATATTCTTAAAAATACCATCAACTCAGGTTTTGTGGAATATGTTATTTGTACATACTTTTAAAAAGCCTGTAAAAGTTTGAGAAGAATATATAATGTTTTAATTAAAAACACAATTGCAAACGATAAGTTTAGAATAGGGTTGTTAACCGGAGGATTTCGTGCAATTCCGGAAAAACAACATTCTTTCGTAAGGAGATTGAGAACACGGAATTACATTTTTTTGTACCGAATGTTACAAAACATTTAAAATCGCTGATGTTCATTTCGCAAAAGCCACTTCCGAAATTAAGCATTTCGCAAGTTGACATACGAAACAAAACTATTTTGCAACATACGAAAGTAGCAGTTTCGGAAGTCGCATTTGCGAAACAAACATTTTCGCCAAACGACGTTTTGAAGTCTATAAGAAAATTTGTTTGCCAGACTGATTTTAATTGTAAAAATTAACATCTTTAAATCCCAAAATGATTATAATGAATTTTTATTTTCAGTATAATAACTATTAAATTTTTATGGTTTTATTTTTAGAAATATTGATAAAAAATAAAATTTCTTTCGAAACGAAAGTATTTCGGATCACAACATACGAAAGAATTCTTAACGGAAATAAACTTACGAAACGTGCCATAATAAATATATACAACGATGTTTTTTGAACTCATTACGTATATTAAAAATAAGAATGATGGGTAGGAATATACATGTTTTTTTTTAAAGCATATGAAATTTTTGAAACAGGTTCGAATATGCTTAAGCAAATAGTAAAAAGAGGCTCAAAAATATGCTTTAGCTTAAGCATATTTCTGATAAAATATACCTATTTCAATAATTTCTAAAAGTGTGCACGTTACTAAAGTTCTAGCAGATTTTAAAGGTATGTAGAGTCCTGTTTGAATACGCTTTTCGAAGTACAGATCTTAAAAAATATTGTTTTTTAATTTTAATAAGATATAAATTTGAGTATAAGATTGTATAGTTCAATCAGTTAGATACGCGATAATTCGCCGCAGAGATCCGGGTTCGCATCCCGCAGCCATTGTAACTTTTGTTCATCAAACTCTATTTACTTAAGATAGCATTTTTGACCTCCATGTTCTATATTACAGATCTTTCGTCACCTTCACAATAGTGACAACCTCTCTTCTGTTAGTTATTCTTTTAAGATTGAGTTCATTGTGCTTAATTCAACACGTTTTCCTTGCTTTACTAAGTTCTACTTAAATTATGATGAAATGTACGTAAAACAACTTTTTCAAATTATATAAATCATTTTCCTTTAAATCTTTTGCTTTTTGTACTAGACATCTGTCCTAAATACTTTGTAATAATTTCTAGCTAACTCTGAGTCTAATATAACCATTTCTGAATATAATTTCCCTGAGGCTCCTACAGCCTATTGTGTTCCATTAAAAGTAACTAGTTTTTGAGTCCAGATATTAATTATAAGCATCTAAAGGTTCACATTACTATTCATTTTCCTGATATATAGAATCCTATTTGCATACGTATCTCTTTCTGTAAATTCTGTTTTATATAGTTTCTTAATTATATATTAAATAAATATTACTATTCACTTAGTTGAATGAACGTATAGCTCATTCAGTTAAGACATTTGGCAGCGTAGACCCAGGTTCACATCCCGCTGTTTCACATATATTTCTTCTCTTTTTACTCTTTCTGATATCATTTACCTTTAGAGAGATCTCTCGTTCTTTATAATAAAGTATTTAATTGTTTATCACACATCCTCTTTATACTTTTTAAAAAGAAAGGCATACTGTTTATCTGTTCATTGAGAGTCCAACTTAACGGGATTTTACTGTATATATATGTATATATATATATATATATATATATATATATATATATATATATATATATATATATATATATATATATATTAGGTATATTTGTATAAACATTTGAAGAATCATTTGACAACATTTTTTTATAATTTTATTATTTATTATTTAAACTCTTAACAGTTAATATCTTAAATATATCGTAACATAAAATCTTTTGCGTCTTTTTCGTAACTACACATTCCGGAATGCTTTTTCCGTAAGGAACTATTTCGTAAGTATTCTTACGAAATGATTTGTTTCGCAAGTTTTGTTTTTCGGCGAACAACCCTAGTTTAGAACTGATTTGAGTTATTGACTGTGCAAAAAACATCCAAAAATATATTTTCTTTCTAATAGACCATGCAAAAAACATCCAAAAATATATTTTCTTTCTAATAGACCGTTCAAAAAACATCAACAATAAACTCTGATATGAACAACTTAATATCTCTGTTTTACAGATATATCATATTGAAAATATTTTTATCAAAAAATAAAATTATTATTATCAAAAAGATTTATAAGTCTATTATATCTTTTTTTATTTAGTTAATATTTCAAAGATATTTAAAAAAAAAAAGAAGTTTTTTTCAATACCAATTTACTCCAATCAAAACTGCAAGTCACCACTAATAAATTCATCAGAAATTAATTAAGAAATAGATAACAGCTATAGAGTTATAGATTACAGATTAGTGAAGACATCACTAAAATAGCTAAGACTTCTAAAAACTCTTTGTTTATTTACCTGAATCCTTGGTAACATTACATCACAAACTCGTTCTTCATGAAGTATTGAATCAATAAATTCATCCATATGTATTATAGTAGCACCTTAAATAAAAATCAGAATAACAGTATACATATGAAAAACAGAAAAAGAAACTGAAATAATATTAATAATATGTAGACAATAAATTCTAATTGAAATAGTAACATTCCTTATGCAGACATTAAAATGAAAATCTTATGCAGACATTGTAAATTTATGCAAATCTTATATCTTATATAATCTTTTTCATTTTACATTTGTAACTTTTATTCATTAAAACAATTAATTGATGTAAAAATTGCAAACATAAACTCCCTAACTAAATTAATATCAACATCAGCTCTCCAACTAAATTAATATCAACATCAACTCTCCAACTAAATTAACATCAACATCAATTCTCTAACTAAAGTAACATTTTCATAAGTAAATTTTTTTTTTTGAAATGTTTTTATAAATAAATTTTGTTTTCATAAACATTAAGTAAAGTTCAAAAAAAAAAAACCTTAAGTAAAAGCCAAAAAAAAAAGTAAACCAAAATTTAGTTTTTAACAACTATGTCTACATGCTTATTATTACAGATTATCATGTACTATTATTGTAGAAGAGTAAGAGAAAACTTTAATAAAAAAGGCCAAACTTAATATATGCCTAAAAGTAAAAAAAAAATTTTTGATGTTAAATGATTTAAATAGTTAAAAAACTATCAAACTTTAAAAAAAAATTTTTTTTTGCATTTTTTATTTTAATTTAACAACTTTAACATCTTATAATCTTTGAACTATTTACACATTCAATTTACAAACCAATTTTGAAATTAATCTTCTCTCACCTCGAGTAAGCAAGTTAAAAAGGGGAGCAAAAATTTACTTTGGATTGAAAATAAAAAAGTTCAATTCAATTAAACGTTTTTTCTTACCTGCTATCTTTCCTTTATACCTCATTTTTCTGTAATCATTATATAATGGTTCAAGATATTTGTAGCATTCCTGAGAAGTCCCAACTAATCTCATGTAAAATGCACCTAGTGCACGCACATACCTTAATGCACATAAATTAACAAATCATAAACCTTTTATTAATTAACATCAAAGTTTTTAAATTATTTATCAATAAAACACATACTTATAGTCTTCATTTTTTATAAACTCAACAATAATATCCTTTTCTGGTTGCAGCTGTAGCATTTTAAGTATAAGACAGAGAAATGGTGTTGGCTTTATGTTTCCTCCAAAAGTGCCGCCAATTTCTTTTAAGTCCATTGCTTTATCAACAAGTAACTCAGCTAAACAACAATTAAAATATAATACAAACACAATAAAGCATGTTCATGTGTTCTTAGATGACAGAGATGGGCAGTTCAAAGAAAGTCAGGAGAAGAGTTTAAACTTTCTGACTGCTTGAAGAAAACTGTAAAATTTAACTAGGGACTATATATACTAGAACAAGTACATCAAACTGTTCAAAAGTCAACTACTTCCTTAAGCTAAGGAGTAGTTTAGTGATGGAGATAGATTTTAACAGGATAATGCAGGGCTCCTACAGGATTATTGGAGAAAAACAGGAAATTTTTTAATAAAAAAAATAAGACTTCGAAGTCTAAAAAAATTTTTTTTTGAAAAACAGGCTACTCTATGACAACATTTAAAAAATATATTTCTAAAAAATGAAAACATTAATTCATTTAAAATAAAATAAAAAATGTAAATATTTTAAAAAAGCACTAATAAAAATAATACTAAAAAGAATATAAATTCCATGTAATAAATAAAAGAAAGAAATATGATGCTTTGTGCATGACTGATTTCAATTCAGATCAAATTTCAAAAAATCATGTAAACAAGAAGGAATTCTTAACATCTTCGAGCGTTAATTTTTTATAATTGCAGTTTGCCTAACACAAAACAATTAATTCTTGTAAAATTACCTTGAGTAATCTTTGTTGATAGAAAATCCTCTTTTTTTGAATTTGCATTTCCGAAATGTATGTTAAATACCTTTAGAATCCCTAAATCATTTAAGTCAAGGGTTTTGAACTTTGATATAGGCTTTAACTGTTTGGATGGTTGCAAATTACATCATCAATAACAAACTTAGAATCCAAACCCCTTAGAAGTTTTTGTATCTTTGGGAACAGGACTCTAATCATTGGCTGTTTTGTTTCTAATGAAACTGTGAAGCCTTTGAAATCATAATGATCTTTTAAAAAACAAGTTGTTAAACATTACTCTCACTAATATGTCTTGCTTATCTAACAAGTGCTTATCCATAACATCTTTTTTAAATGATCAAGGAGGTCTTCTGCAGTAGAAACAATGAACTTAAGTACAATGTTATGATTTGCCTACATTTGAATGGTATTTTTGTAATTAGTTTAGTTAGTAAGTTTGCAATACAGTTGTTTCATCAAATTGGAATGTTAAAGATAAACATTTTAACTCATTTTAAATAACTTTTTGAATACAAGGGGTTACTCTGAATTAAATCATATACTCCAGTTTATCAAAATATCTAAAAAAAAAAAAATTGTTCGTTATTTAGATATTATTGATAAAAGTTTATCAATAATATCTAAATAACGAACAATTTCAGCTTTAACTAATGACTTTTCCATGCTTAATACTTTGCATTTTGTGAATAACTTTACAGCAAAAAAAAAAAAAAAAAAAAAAAAAAAAAAAAAAAAAAAAAAAAAAAAAAAAAAAAAAAAAAAGCTAAACCATCTGAACTTGTCACAAATTCAAACTATCTAGCTGATTTTGTATTTTCTTCATATTTCTTTGACTTTTTTGGGTCACGCCAGCTGAAATTTCTATGTCTGCAAAATCTACAGAAGCCATATTTTATAGACTTATTTAAAGCTTTCACCATGGATAGCTCTTTTTCCAGGATGTTTTTTAAAGACCAAGTATTCTTGGTCTTTAAAAGTAAATTTAAGTAAAAAAAAATTACTTGTACTCAAGCTTGCTTAAAATGTTTAAATCAGTATAGCAGAGTCTGAAAAATCCTATTGGGAACTTTTATATAGAATGTGCTTTCCCATAAATTTCATACTATTTTAAACTTTTATATAGAAAGGGCTTTCCCATGATGATTCTGTAGACCAGTTTAAAATAAGGCAGAAGAGGCTCCTTAGCTGTGATGAAGGTAACATACCTACCAATAAAATTTCAGTAAGGTCAAAAGGAGCTTGTAAATCCTGCAGCCGTATTCACATCCCTCTGTTAAACCCTGCAATAAGCTATTGGCTGGTTAAAAGTAAATTGACAGTGTTTAACACCAGCAATAAAATAAACTCATATTCTTATGTCGTTTGGTTAATGGCAGGAGTAAATTTGGTTATCGGAAAGCTTTTAATGCTAAAATCTAACCCTGCTATACCCTACTGTTAAAAATGCTATCAAAGGAATTTTCTCTTATATTAAGAAAAATAAAAAATGGAATCAAAACAAGCATACAAAAATAAGTTTACTTTTATAAAAAATAAGCTATAATATATACAATATAATATTATTATTACTATAATATATACAATATCAAATTTATATGATTTACTCCTTAATTGTGGAAAATAATTATGTTTATGAAAATATATTATCATAGTCATAAGAAATAGTTTGGAAGCAGGGGCCATTTCTATTATTTTGCCATTTTAACTTGAATTTTGAAATTTGGCTCATTCACCTTGCACAAGTTTTTAAAATGAGCAGAGAACCTTATGTAGAAACACAGCTTGATGATCTGTATATGGCTCTAACAGATGGAATTTTTGACAATAACATGGAAATTGAATAAGATCTAGATAATTTACTAGCTTAAGTTTGTTTTAAATTCAATTTTTCATGCGACTTGTGTTGTAAAGTTTATAAAATGAAATATGGCCTGAAAAGACTTAAAACTTCGAAACATAAACAAATCAACTCAATTAGTGAAGAAAAAGGTTGGTTGCAAATTACATCATCAATAACAAACTTAGAATCCAAACCCCTTGAAGTAAAGAAAAAGGCTCCATACAATTTAGTTATCTTGATCTTGAGAAAATTGTTGAAGAACGTGCTTATAAATTCGAATTAAATTTTCAAAGCAGAATTTTTGTTTTTGTTCTGAAAATTCAATTTCTCTTTTTGAAAAATTTCAGGGTTTTCTTTCAAAATACAAAAGTGATGCAGAAAAATTTTATTCTCGATTTTATGAACTTCTTTATGAAAATTTATTGACATCAAAGTTTGAAAATAATTTACTGATCAATACTTCGCTTACTTAAGTTGGAAAGCACATACTTTGAGATCTTTCAGAAAGTAAACATAATAATTTATCTAATAGCAAATATTCATCATCTAATGTTTTTTCTGATAAAGAATTAAGTATAATTCTATATTTGTCAGTTGTTCAAAAACTTTACTCATAGTTCAAAATTTATAAATCTGATGAGCAGTATAAAAAACAATGCATTGAAATATCAGCATGAAAAATTGATTCAGATGATACCCAAAAATATGTTAATACTAAGAACAGAGGTGGTTTATTTAAAACTAACATCTATACTCAAAATATCTTTATAAACAACTTTTCGTAAACAAAGCAAATCTTTTGTAATATCTATTAACAGCAAAGCTCTGTTTAATGAAATGCTTTAGGACTCAGTGGTTATAAGTAGCTTAAACAATATATGTTACAGTACTGAAGTGCAAATTGATAAAGAAATATCTCTCTCTCTTCTTGAAAATATATGCTTGTTTTGATCACAAAGGTTAGAAGCTTTTCCTATGCTAGAGATATTCATGAGAAACATTAAATCAACAAGCACGCATATCTTTTATAAGAACAGAGATTAAAAAAGTGGCGTGCAGCAATTTAGTTGATCCATAAATTTGGTCTTCCTTCATCGCTGATCTGCTTTAGAAGATACAAAACGGTTATTTTTAAAGCCACAAATTTAATTAAAACGTTTATGGCTAAAACAACTTATTTTTAAATTAAAATATTGATATTTATATGCTGTTGAATAAAAAAAATAGTATTAGTTTCTTTTTAATTTTATGTTTTTTATTTAGATTATGTATATAGGAAGTTTTAAGTAATCGATTAAAATCCATTCCATTTTTTTAATTAATATAAATACAATAAAGAAATGTTTATATCATTGATATAACCATTTATCTATTAAGCATAAAAAATGAATTCTTAGTCAATAATGTAATTATTTTTATTTGTAGCTATGAAAATAGCTGTTTTGACAGGATTATAGCCACTGTCAGAGACTTTGTTAATTTGCTATTTAGTCTGATTTTTTTCTTCTTTTTGGCAGTGACCAGCAGTCTTTGACCTTGAACGTTACCGACAAAAGATCGTGTAGAATATTGTGACTTAATAGTGTTGTCATTATACCCAACATCTCTGACAGTGGGATTATCATGTCTGCTGCCAATGGCACGCTGCCTTCCAAAGTAGTTTTCTAAATCCTCTTGACAAAATCTTTCTGAAAGAATGTAAGGAACACCACGTTCTTAGAGAAACTTACAAACTTCTTTGAATGAATGTACTGTTATCTGTATAACTTCATATGCTCGCAAAGAAATAAAAATATTTGCCTTAGCAAAAGCAGTATAATTCCGGTCATTTTGATTGTCAATAGACTCTTACTATTTCTTAAAGTATAAAAAAAAACTGTCAAGCCATTCAAAACGTACATCATTAACAGATTCATATAGTTTTAGATTTTCTTTTAAATTTTTAACATCTTTATTTTTACTTGAAATATTCAAGCAGCCAAAAAATTTATCCATCCTGAGACAAAATTGAGAAGTTCCTGCGCATTCTGGTGGACCAAATTCTTTTAAAACATTGCCAACTGTTTCACTTAACACTTGAGCATCTAAGTAAACACGCATTACTGAATATGGTGTTAAATTAATGTGATCACTGCTAAGTTTATTTAAAAAAATTGATTTCTTTATCACCTAAATCAACAAAACCAATAAGTTCTCCAGTATATTTGTTCTATACTAAACCTTCTTGGATCTTCATTTCATCAAGAATAATTGAAACAAATTTTTCATGAGGAAGAAAATTTTGTGTTTTTTTTTTTGCAGGTTCACTTAAGACAGCTGAATTAAATCTCCTAGTAGGTCGGATGTAATTTTTGTAATCTCTTAAAGTTTTTAAGCTCGGAAGAGTTAAAATGCCTACACCTGTCTGTGGATCATATCACAAATCGCTATAAGCAGATGGTGATTTAACAGCAGTTTAGACAATATTTTATTATCTGATAGATGAAAGATTGGA